GACTGGGAATGACTGGTCACTATGACACACACTGACCACCAGGGGGCAGACGCTCAATGCAGGAGCTGCCCCCTGGTGATCAGTGCGCTCCCACAGGGGGAGCCCTGTTCAGCCACAAGCTAGGCTGAGGCTTCCAGCACAGCGGTGGTGGTGGGAGCCTCTCCCGCCTCCTCAGCAACGCTAAGGATGTCCGGCTGCGGCTTAGCCCTTCTCTCTGCTGGGAAGAGGACATCCCCTGAGGGCTTCCGGCTGCCAGAGGGATGTCTGACTGCCAGCTTAGGCCTGATCCCCCTGGGAGTGGGCCTAAGTCAGCAGGTGGACATCCCCCGAGGTGTCCCAGACTGTGAGAGGGCACAGGCTGGGCTGAAGGAACCCCCGAGTGCACAAATTTTTGTGCACTGGGACTCTAGTATATTTATAAAAAAAGATGAACTCCTTTGCTGTCCCTCAGATGATTTAACCCTTTATTTGAGTATTGTCTACATTTGAAAACTAGGCTTTTTTTCTTGTTTGTTTCTTTGTTTTTTTACCTATTTTGTATTTGTAAGAGAAAACAGCATTTTATTGGGTTAGAATTATATATATGCCAAAGACCAAACAGTATTTAATGCTTGCAATATCAGAGAACAATTAATAATTTTAAGTATATCTGTGCCAATATTTTGACTATATTCCCTGGTATCCTATATTATGTGCAAAGGTACTCAATAAATGTTGAATTGAACTGATTTGTACACAGGCTTCTAAATAATGTCTTCTTCTACAGCTTCTGTTGACTTGTGTTTCTTATCAATGTTAGGTGTTTATTTAAATTTCCTTTATCTTTAAATGCTCTTTATTTGTATATGTCTATGATGTGTGCCCACACATACACACACACACACATACACACACACACACACGTATACATATGTCCCAAATTTTCTGGTATAGTACCAAATATAAATGTTATATCTTGCTATCATTTCTTGTGTCTTAATTTTGAGTTCAGAAAATGTGACCACTGTCAAATAGATACCTAGATGAACAATGAGACTGATAGCATTTATTATACAAAAGCAACTTATTCCTTTGCAACTTATTCCTGGAGATTATACAAAACATATTCTATTGTCTGACTATTCAAAGGGAGGTGCTCAAACCAACAACATTGGCATCTCCTGGGAGCTTGTTGGAAAGGCTGAATCTGAAACCCATCCCAGACCTACTGAATCAGGAGCTACACTTTCATTAGATCCTTAGTGATTCATATGCACTTGAAAGTTGAAGAAGCCCTGAGAGAGGATTCAGAAAATGGACCTAGTCAAGTACTCAGATTGAAAATACAGTGATTTTATTTTATTTTTTATTGAGTTATAATTGACATATAACATTATATTAGTTTCAGGTGTACAACATAATGATTTGATATTTGTATTGTGAAATGATTGCCATAATAAGTCTAGTTAACATTCGTCACCATACATAGTTAACACAATTTTTTTGTGTGTGTGTGAAGAGAAGGGAGGGATATTTTATAATAAGTATTCAAATGATAAGCAGTAGTTTGAAAAATTAGATCCATAAAGCTAAGAATAAAAAATATTTATAGCAAGAAAAGCTTAAGGATCTAGTAACTATAAATGCAAGATTAGCAAATAGAGGTTGACCAGCTTTTTTTGTCCACCTGAAAAACAATAAAACAAGAGAAAACAGACCTTATTGAAGCACAAAGCACTTTTCATTCATAGAGGGAAGAATTTCCCGCATTGAGAGGTGTTAAATATTTAATGATGTTATTGTGAGATATTATGGAATTCTCTTGGGAACAAATACTTCCTCAAATAGTTAGCTGTGGCCCAATCTACTTCCAGAGCAGGAACTAAATTGCTTCTCATGTTCTTTCAGCCTAATCAATCCATCTGTTGAGTTTCAACTGTGTTTAGTCTCATGATTCAGTTTTCACTGGATCTCTTGACCAGTCAGAAAATTTGTTGCAGATTAAAAAATTAACTCCTTTTTGTCATTTTAGAAAATGAGGAATATACTCTCTATGTAGTGACATGCAATCCTGTTTCCTTATACTTCATGAGTATGGCTGGGAAAGTTGGCTACTTTGTGGACCTTTATGACATCTTCCCAAGAACCGCCAGTGGAGTTTGGCACCCATTTGTGACAGTGGCACCCCTGGGAAACCCTCTCAATGGTCAAGTGGTCCTCCATGAGCAGCAGGTAATGCATCCAGGTTACTCACATAGTACTCACATGCTAAGGGTAATTTATGTGGAATAAAAGGCAAGAATGATTTACAACCTATAACTGAAAATAAGTATTTTTATAAAGATTAAGAAAAGGGGCTGGACAAAGGATCCAAAGTTGTATTTTATCATTACCACAAAGACAGGTTAATGTCTTTCTCTCTGCAGAGACTTCAGCATGACTTGTAAGTCTGGAGACATGAAAGGGTTTCTCAACCTCAGCACCCTTGACATTTAAGGCCAGATAATTCTTTGTTGTGAACCTTGCATTCCCTTTGGGGAGATAAACAACAAGTAAAATGCCAATTTCAGATAGTGTGTTTCACAGGCAGTGTGTTTTAATTAGTGAGAGTTCTAAAGGCATATGTTCATCTGTACTATATCAGTAGAATGGAGTGTACAAGAAACTAGATAATAGTCTAAGGAATGATGGGGATGGGTAGGAGGCATTGGGAGGGTAACCAATATTAAGAGATGACATTTTCTCTGAAACCTGAATGAATCCTTTATGCAGAGGATGCCATGTAATTGCTTTAGTCCATTTGGGCTGCTATAACAGAGAAACCATAGAAACTTATTAGCCATCTCTTCCTCGCATGAAGGAATGATAAATCTCTTTGGTGTTTCATATTTACTTATTCATTGAATGTATTGAGGTGACACTGGTTAATAAAAACATGCAGATTTCAAGTGTTCTACTTTATAACACATCATCTGCATACTACATCTCGTGCTCACCACTCATGCAAAGTTAAGTCTCTTTCCACTGTCTTTTATCCGCCATTTGACTTCTTCCATCTCCCCCAACAGTCTTTCCCTCTAATGATCACCATACTATTATCTATTTCTGTTTTTTTTTGTTTGTTTATTTGTGGGGTTGTGTGGTTTTTTTTGTTTGTTTGTTTTTTTGCTTAATCTTAACCTTTACCTTTTCCACCGAGCCCCTCAACCCCACCCTTCTGACAGTTGTCAGTCTGTTTCTATTTTGTTAGTTTATTTTGTTCATTAGATTCCACATACAAGTGCAATCATATAATATTTGTCTTTCTCTGACTGGTTATTTCACTTATTATAATACTCTGCAGCTCCATTTATTGCTGTTACAAAAGGTAAGATTTTGCCCTAGCTAGTTTGGCTCAGTGGATAGAGCATCAGCCTGCAGACTGAAGGGTCCCAGGTTCGATTCCAGTCAAGGGCACATGCGTGGGTTGCGGGCTTGATCCCCATTAGGGGACATGCAAGAGGCAGCCAATCAGTGATTCTCTCTCATCATTGATGTTTCTATCTCTCCTTCTCCCTTGTCTCTGAAATCAATAAAGATATATTTTTTTAAAAAAGGTAAGATTTCCTTCTTTTTATATGACTAAATATTTATTCCATTGTGTAAATGTATCACAGCTTTTTATCCACTCATCTACATATGGATACTTGGGCTGCGTCCAAATTTTGGCTATTGTAAATAACACTTCAATGAACATAGGAGTGCATATATTGTTTTAAATTAGTGTTTCTAGTTTCTTCTGATACATTCCCAGAAGTGGAATTACTGGGTCATAAGGCAATTCCATTTTTAATGTTTTGAGGAAACTCCATACTGCTCCCCTTAATGGCTGCACCAATCTGCATTCCCACCCACAGTGCACAAGGGTTCTCTTTTCCATATTCTCGCCAACACTTGTTTGCTAATTTATTGATGATAGCCATTCTGACAGGTGTGAGGTGATATATCATTGTGGTTTTAATTTTTATTTCTCTGATGATTAGTGACATCGAGCAACTTTTCATATGTCTGTTGGCCATCTGTATGTCCTCTATGGACAAGTGTCTATTCAGGTCCTTTACCCATATTTTAATTTAATTGTTAATTTTCTTTGTGTTGACTTGTATAAGTTCTTTGTAAATTTTGGAAATTAACCCTTTATCAGATGTATCATTGATAAATATGTTCTTCCATTCAGTGAGTTGTCTTTTGATTTTACTGATGGTTTCCTTTGCTGTGAAAAAGCTTTTTAGTTTGATGTAGTCCCATTAGTTTATTTAATTTTTGTTTCCCTTGCCTATGGAGATAGATCAGAAAAAAAATATTGTTATGAGAGATGTCTGAGATTTTACAGCCTATGTTTTCATCTAGAATTTTTATGATTTCACAACTTAAATTTAAGTCTTTAATTCATTTTGAGCTCCCTTGCAGGTAACTAACTGTCTTTCTCTTCCTGTTCTTAAGATTCTCTCTTTATCTTTAACGTTTGCTATTTTAAATAAGATGTTCCTTGGTGTGGGTCTCTTTTGGTGCATCTTGTTTGGTACTCTGTGCTTCCTGAATTTGTCTTTTGTTTTCCTTCATTGGATTAAGGAAGTTTTCAGCCATTATTTCTCCAAATAGGTTCTCGATCCCTTGTACTCTCTCTCTCTTCTCCTTCTGGTAGTCCTCTGTTGCAGATGTTGTTACAGTTAATATTGTTTCAGAGGTTCCTTAGACTTTCCTCATTTAAATTTTTTATTGTTGTTGCTGCTGCTCTGCTTTGGTGTTTTCTGTTTTCTTGCCCTCTAAATCACTGATTCAATCTTCTGCTTCATCTAACCTGCTGCTTATTCCTTCTAGTGTAGTCTTCATTTCACATGTAGTATTCTTAATTTCTGACTGGTTCCTTTTTATGATTTCTGTGTCCTTTTTAATGCTTACTATCTCTTTGCTTAGGTTCTCACTGAGATCATCCATTCTTCCTCCAAGTTCTTAAGCATCCTTATAACCATTGTTTTAAATTCTGCACCTAGTGTCTTGATTGTTCCCATTTCATTTAATTATTTTTCTGGGGATTGCACTTGTTCTTTCATTTGGGGCATATTTCTTTGTCTCCCCATTTTCCCTCTATTTATTCGGTAGATCTCCTATGACTCCCAAATTTGTTATGACAGCTTTATGATGTAGGTGTTCTGTGGGGCTCAGTGGCACAATTTTCCAGATCACCTGAGTTCAGTAATGTCTCCTTTGTGGGTTATGTCTGCTGTCCTGTTGTAGTTGAGTCTTGAATGCTTGTTGGCCCATTTGTGGGTGAAGTTAAGCCTCTGGCTGGCTGGCTGGCTGGCTATAAGGATGGATATCAGTCACTGCGTTTGAGTCTCTGTGCAGGGGCTGCCCCTTTGGCAGAGTTATTCCCAGCAGGACCTGTTGCCTGTCAGAATCCCCCTTTTTGTGTGCCACTTGTGTGGCTAGTTGTGTAGAGGTCTGGTGTGGTCTGAAGCCCCACACTGGTTGTGTTGGTTCTGGGTCCACTTGAGCGGGTTTTCAATGCAGATTGATGTCAGATGTTATCTATAACTGGCTTTGGGCTACCTGTCTGGCACTACCACTCTATTCACTGTTTGTGGCTGTGTCTGCTGTGCCTGGTTGTGTGTGGGAAGGGTCAACTTCCTCCAGCCGTGAGCCGAGGGAAGATAATAAAAGGTCCAAGGCACCCTGAAGTCCAGTTCACCTGTCAGCTGCTCCACCACCGCTGAGGTTTCCTGGTCTTCCTACAGAGCTTTCCAAAGAAAGACTGTAGAATGTTCCCAGGTTGGCCACAACCCACAAATCCTTCCATAAGGCACGAGCTTGGTAGGGTGGGGTGACCAGTGTTGGGAGGTTGGGGGGATGGGGCTAGAGAGGACAAGCATGGTCAGGCATTTATTTTGCGGGGGAGGGGTTGTTCTCTACTCCAGAGCCATACCACCCAGTCTCTGCCGGAGTCTCCAACCCTAGCTCCTTCAGGGGAAGTGTACTGCAGGTCTAGGTTGGATGAAGCCTGCTGTCCCCTCTGCAGGAGCAGTCTCAGCAGGGCAGGGCCACCAGGAATTGGGAGGACAGATCAAGTCTCCCATTGGGCATGTTGCCTACTGGGCCTGTACAATGGGGGCAAGCACATTCCCTACTCCCACACCACAGTGCCCATCCAAGTATTCGATAAGACTGGTCCCCATTTCAAAGCCACATAATGCCCATCCAAGTATCCGCTAAGACTGGTCCCCATTTCAAAGCCTCATAGTTCAATGACTGAGAGCCTTCCAAGAGCTTCTCTAGAAAAAGAGCACACCAAAGGTCTCTCTGCAGGACTTGAGGTTGGCAAAGTGGTGTCACTAGTAGTTGGAGGTCTGGGCAGTGTAATGTTCTGGGGCCTAACTTTGAGTGGAAGGGGAAGGTGTTAGAGGGTTTCAAGCAGAGGAATGGCGTGCTCTGACATTTTTAGAGGATTTCTCTGACTCCTCTATGGTGAATAGTCTATAGGTTCTATGGCAGAATGGAGGAGACTAGTTAAGAGATTTTTGCCATGATTCAGAAAAGAGATAAGGGCTGTTTGGAGGAGTATGGAGGTTGTAAGTAATGATGGATTCTGGATATCTTTTGAAGGTAAGACCAACAGGATTTCCTAATAAACCAGATGTATTGGATGAAAAAGAGTAGAATTAAGGACAACTTCAAGTTTTAGGGCCTGAGCAAATGAAAGGATAGAGTCGCCATCAACTGAGATGAGGAAGGGATCAGTTTTGGAAAGAAGATTGTTTGATTAAATTTTAGATGTCTATTAGGGATCCACATAGATTAATCTGGAGTTCAATGGAGAGGTCAAAACAGGAAATACAAGTTTGATAGTCATTGGCATATAAAGCATTGGAATGAAAAAGGTCATCCAGGGGTGAATGTGGGTAGAGAAAAGAAGTTTGAGCACTAAGCCCTGCAGCAATAAAACATTAAGAAATCAGGGATATGAGGAGGAATCCACCAATGAGATTGAAAATGAGTAGCCAGTGAAGTAGGTGAATAAACCAGGTACCCTCGATGGGAAGTGATGAGTGTCTCAAGGAAAGGGATCAATTGTTAAATGCCAACAATGTGTGAAATAAAAGATTGCATACACTATCCCATGTTATTCTTCTAGCTGCCCAGTGAGGTAGCAGTTAGTATTATATACGTGTAAGGACACTAAGGCTTGGGGAATT